TCCAACACGTGGAAAATATATAAACGAAACTGAAATAAAAGGAAGTCAATGATAATAAATTTAGGAATAAAATGTAATAAAAATTTGAATAAAGGTATATAAATAACATACACAATAACAGAACTCACCAAGAGTTATTAAATACTGATCCAGGAAATGAAGAAACTGAAGAAAATTATTCATGAGATGCAAAGTCTTTTGACACTGGAACATGTGAAATCTTCAGTAAAGAAGAAAATAAGAAGAAAATGACTTAAATAGATAAATTTTACAGAAACAAGGTGTGAGGACATATGTAGTTGCGAGAAATCTACTAAAGCTTCATATATCATGGGATTTTAGATTTGTGTCCTATTAATGTTGAGTTTTTGACTCCAGCTAAATAGTTGTGTCAAAATTATCTACCTGTATTGGACTTCTTGAAGCTGACTGCTCTGAATGGGGGTCAAATGGCTGATATGAGCCTGGGGGGATTACCAATGTTGTAGTAGTCACTATAAAATACCAGTGATATCCCCCTGTAATGGGAGTGTCCGATTCGGGTGAAGTCAGCAAGTCTTTCTAACTCCTCCATGTGGCAGACCCTGGTAATGGTGAAAGCACAGAGAGCAGCAGTGATAGAAGGGCAAAAAGCGAGTCTCTGCTGCCTCAAATCAAGAGCACTGGACTAAGGGAATGAAAACCCTGACAGAAAACCTAGTGTGGGGGATTCACTGCACTCTCCAGGTGCAGTGAAACCAACTTCCCTAGGGGAAGGAACCCTAGGGAAGGATTTTCCCTGGTTGAAGCATAATTCTAATGTTCCAATATCCCATTTTTATTTTATTCTTTATCCATGATTCTTTGCCAAGTTGTTTCCATGAAATAGGTCCTGCCCTCCAACCTGAGAAATGAACTGGTCTGTTTGGAACTGGATTTATAATCAATCAAAGATCGAAAAAAAGCAGTCAGTCCTTTGTATCATTAGGGGAGAGGCTGTAAAATCATATTAAAGGTAAGGTTTCAAAACATCACCATATTATATGCACATCCTCCAACAGAAGAAATACCAGACCAGATGATAAGAAATTCACTTTTTACGACACATTAGAAAAGGAATGTAACAATATTCCAAAATATCATATGAAAGTAGTATTAGGTGACTTCAACCCAAAAATGGGCTAGGAACAAAGGATATCAATGGTGGCTTGAAATTATTCTCTTCATACAGAAACTAGTGAAACTAGACAAATGCTGATTAACTTAGCATCAGCAACTAACATATTGATAATGAATACATTCTTTGAGCATAAAAAGATACATAAACACACATGGAAAATACCAGGAACTTCATCTTTCAATCAGACAGACCATGTTCTAATAAATAAACATTTAACATTGATAATAGATGTTAGATCAGCAAAGGGACCAAATTGTGATTCAGATCATTATCTAGTCCGTGTACTTCCAACAGAAAAATTATCTCCTGCCAGTTAGGTGTGAGGGAGTAAAAGAAAGAAAAGGAATATTACACTGCTTCAGAAGAAGGAATGTACTGAAAATTGGAAGAAAATAACGGAGAATAAATTAAAGACAACAACAAAAAATGAAAAGAAGAATGAAATAGTTGGAAACCAGTATAAATGTTTAAAAGAATCCAAAATAGATGGTGCATAAAATACCATAGGAAGAATACAGGGGCAAAAAAGTAAAGAATGGGTTGATGAAGAAAATAGAAGTCTATTGAACGAGAGGAATAGACAAATATTGATACAACGAGACAGTAGATTATCAAGGGAAAAATAAAACCACAGTAGAAAAGAAGCCAGCCAAACAATTCACAATAAGAAGAGAGTTATTGAAAGGTAAAATAAAAGAGATTTAACAGCTAAATGTCACACATGAAAATCAAAAATTCTATCGGTGATAAAAAACATGTCTATGGTCTATCACGCAAGGAGTAATCTGTGTCGAGACGAGAATGGAAATTAGGTTGAAGACCAACAAGCGGTGTTGGAAAGATGGGATGAATATTACAAGATCCAAAATAATACTAATGAAGATAACCTTGGAAGTGAATCAGAACTATTAGAAGATCATAATGGAGTACCTGAAACTGAGATAGAAACACCAACAAGAGAAGAGATATGGGAGGTTGTGAAAAAGCTAAAGAAAGGGAAAGCATCTGGAGAAGATTAAATATCCAGGGTATGGACAAAAGCTGGCAGAGAGAAATTTATGAAGGTATTACATGAAATGATATGTAAGATTTGGGAAAAGAATAAAATACAAAGAGAATGGAAGAGCAGGCTTATATGTCATATAAGGAGACAAGCTTGATTGACAAAACAATAGAGGCATTACACTCCTGAACACTCTATATAAGACATTTTCTAGTGTAGATCAGAAGTGAGAAAATACTTTGCCGAATATAGGAGAGGAGTATCAACGTGGATTCCAGAAAGGTAGAGGAGCAACAGACCAGATATTTAAAAATTGTCAAATAATGAAAAAATGTTATGATTGCAACACTGATGAACACATACTCTTTGTCAATTATAAACTAACCTTTGCCATCATCAAATGAAATTAGTTGTTAATAGTGCTGACAAAAGATGGAATCCAAAGCAAATGGATAAGATTGATTGAAAAGTGTATGCTTGAATGACAAGCAAGTATACATTGCAGGAAAGATAAGTGATCCATTTTAAATAGCATTGGGTGTTAAACAAGGGGATTCACTGTCAGTTACACTACTTAATATGGCTTTCCATGATGATGTGAAGACATTAAGTATTAGAGGTAATATCCTCTATAAGTCAAAGCAATGCCTAGTTTGTTCTGTATCAAGGAATGCTGTTGCCTACTAGGTTCTTTGTGCTTCAATATTCTACTTGTAATTTTGGGGGAATTGCTTTCATCTGCATCTAGTATTGTCAACAAAGATCAATCAACCAAGATGTCAATCTTCCCGCTGGATTTCCAGGATTTTACTTCTCATCCACCATTAATGAAGAGTTTAGTCTTCTACTATTATTAACTAAGGTATTATTACAACATTATTAACATTACTAACACTATAGTATTAACCACTTATTAAAATTTATTTCAAGTCCCCAACTCCAGTAATCATCATGAAGTTTTTGCAGCATTTGGAGAACATCACCATCTTCTTCAATGAATCAGCAAAATTGCTATTGCCTGTGTAGTTCAAGGAATACAGCATAGCATAATACGTTTTGATACCCATATTATAACATTTTCTCCTCCAGATTTTTCAATCTTCATTTAAATATAGTTTATTCATAGTTGGAGCAATCAAACACCCTTGTTGTAAGCATTTTTACTGTAAATGGTTTAGGAAAAGTTATTTCTGTTTTTGATTGTGCCTGATGATTGGTATTTCAGTGCTACCATTGGTACATTCTTCTTTGTGAGTTTGTCATGGAAGCCATGTGTTTCAATTATTTTCTTTTGTATTTCTTTATATCTTCACATAGTTCTTTTCCTTCAATCATTTTCTGATCTCTTCAGTGCTGAGAATGTGTAGTTTTGTTTCTGAGGCCAGATGTCTTAGATTACTCATCTGAACTGCTTTTCAATTTATTAAGACAAAATTGAAACAGGTCAAATATGAATATTTTTAACAAAACCCAAGAGACTTATCATGCTCTTGTACCAAATTGAGAAGAAACATGTCGGAGCCAGCATTTTGTCAAAGTGCTGTTCATCATCATCAATTTTGTCCATCATACATTTCTATCATATAATTCAATTATCATCTCACAGAGTTCACCTCTCCTCAAGAAATGATTTCCCCAAAACAAAATACTACAGGATTATCAGTCAACAACATGTAAATCTATTTTTCTCTAATTGATGATTTTTTCCCCTTGGAAATTACACCTTTGGTCATACACATTTCTGTAACATAGTTTTGTAAATTATATTTCAATGCTAAGAAATAATAGTCTATTGGCACTTTAAAACTGATTCTGCAATTTCATGGTATTCTTTTGTCAGTCTTCGTATTGAGAGATACAAAGACAAGACTGTTGGTTTTGATACGTTCTCCTGATTTTTCACCTACAAAAAATTCTCAATTTATAATTTCAAATGCATGCTTTCCTTTTATTTAGCTAATTATTTTATTGCAGAATAATTAAAAACAATAACTTTTAAAACATCAGAATATATTTTTGTTCTTATAATATTAGACAATTTGTTAGAAGAGTGAATTTATGAGTAAATTGTCTCATTCTTTTTGGTCATGATTGGTTGTTAAAAGAACGAAAGAAAAGTAAAGCTAATAAAAGTGTCTGTATTTTTAATTTATCAATTTTTTAATGTTTTCTGTATCTCTTTCATGCCAACAATATTTTTACATCTTGGCCTTTGTTTCTTATTGGTTTACAATAACTTTAAGGTTTGTAACAAAAATGTTAACTCTTCAGAGAATTCAAAAACATTAGCAAGTGTTGCAAGTATGTTAAGTAGGCCTAAATGTAATGAACCATTATATTGTACATCAGTAAAATTAATTGTCCTTAACATGAAGAAAAAAATTGTAAAGAGTACTTATAATTGAAATAAAATGTACTAAAAATGGACTAACAAACAAATCATTTAAGTATATTAATTAGTTCAAATTGAACAACTCCAATCTGACTTTTTTTTAATTCACTACGATTATAAAATTAAACATTCCACCTTGCCCGAAAACGGAGTATCTGTGTTTTAAAATTATTTTCATTACTGTAAATGTTTTCAAATACTAATGAAATTCCGTTCTCTGTTTTGACCCTGTCTCATATATTTATGTTACGAATGACCCGCAACTTTTGGATTTATGGGGACAGTTGTTCGACCTCACAAATTTGTCAAGAATTGTGTCTAGATTGCGACTGTCGCATTGGAGAACTGTATTTATAAAGGCCTGCGTCAATCTCTCGTTCTCTCTTTGCTCCGATCTATCGATAGCAACACCTACTTCACGTCCGGTTGCTTAGAGCGCAGCACTGTTTCCCACGAAACGCAGTGGGAGTCCAGCAGTTGCTGGTTGCTGGTGTAGTGCGCATCGCAGCTGTTTGCGTTTGTTGTGGATTTCAGTTGTGGCAGTCTTTGTCCGTGTGAACCTGATGTAGACTCCTATATCAGGGGTACAGTTTTCAAATTTACTGTGTAAAGCCTCGTGATAACGAGAGGAGAACTCTGAAATATCTCCAAATTGACCCAGAAACTGAGAGGTGATTTGAGTAATTTTAATAACAAAAGCTGCATGCTTGGCCATCTTACAACGTACAGGATTTGTTTTCATCTGTTTTGTGGCAGGCTCTAAGCCTTCAAGAATTTTACCAGTTGTGGAAAACACATTAGTTTTCTTTCTGGAACTTCGTAAACGTATTTAAAATGGCCCAGCAGCCTACCAGTAGTGCCCTTCGAGCCCTTGCTTTGGAATACAAAAGCCTCCAAGAGGAACCCGTCGAAGGCTTTCGTGTGAAGCTCGTAAATGAAGACAACCTTTTTGAGTGGGAAGTTGCAATTTTTGGGCCGCCAGACACACTTTATCAAGGCGGTTATTTCAAGGTAAGTTTCGCTTTATTGGTATTTTTTCCGATTGCAATTATTCATACAATTCACACTTCCCTGTAAAATTGCTTTCTTTATAATTTGAAATTAAATGGCAATATTGTTGCAGACTATTTTTGCTTTAAAAATGAATTTAATGTCTAATGATCAATTTTTGGAATGTTAGCATTTTGTATCAAATACCACCATAGTGAAAGTCTAAGAAAGTGTTATGTTTATTTGCAAAAAGTGAACTTTTCTTTGGTCTAAGAGACATACTGATTCAAAAGTTATTTTGGTTTCATTAAGTTAGACAAACTGATTTATGAAAAAGTACTATGAGATTCATTCTTGGGGCACTGTATAATAATTTTAGAAACCAGAAAATGGAATCAAAAGAACATTGTTGCAAGTTCTGACCAATAGCGTTAGACGTGTCAGTCCTCTGTCTGCGACCTGATCTTTCAATAATTGTCTCAAGTACGCCATAAAAAAAAAGTATCACCGCTAATAGTTTGATTGATGACAGTGGCTAAAATTATTGTATTATTGTTTGACATTGTATGTGAATGTTACAGAATGTTGAAAATAACATTTTGAGAGGATGTCAGGTTTCCAATTTATGCTCATTGCACTTCGTTACAGTGATAATGTTGGTGTAAAATTCTTATTCCGGGAATGGTGTTTATTTGAACGTGGCAGCTGGTTTTACATTTGCATTTTGTAAAAATTCGCTCGTCAACATATGGCTCAAAATCAGGGTGTTGTAGCAATTTCTGCACCCTGTTAAATTTCAAAACCGAGAATTTATTCGTACGTCAGCACTTGTTCTGTTGTGTAGATATTTAGAGTTTTTGGCCGATGGGATTTTCAGCAAGTGGACTGTTTGTCGATGAGACTGCAAACTGCACCCCTTGCTGCGGGGGTTGCTAGCGTCGCCTCCGCATGCCTGAGCGCGGTATTGATTTTCTCCCACCGGCCATGGCCTGGTTTCGAGGTCGTCCCACGCGTACTCTTGGGTTCAATCCCAGGGCTCTTCCCTCTTGTTTGACGATTTTGCCTTCGGCTCGATCTCTGAGTGGAATGTCACCTTAACGACTAAATAATACTCGTTATTTGTGATTGGAGATGGATTGTCATTGAACAAGAATTGTGGGTGCATTGTATTCATTGGTGAAACCATTATTAATAGGCCAAGAAAGTATGCGAACCCTAGGGATGTTGTCGACAGTGAAACCACATGATTTCCTCTTGGATAGTCCTTGGTTCTTTGACCCTTGGAAAAGTTTCAGAATCTAATTTTGGCCCCCACAATGCTACCCTGTTTATTTGGAAGCACCCGGAACGATGTAGGGGGCAGGGGCGTCAGTTTGTGGCTCCTCTCGACCAGAGTCTGGGCTAACATTTCTTTCATGTGGAGATCTTGCGGAAAGAACGAGAACGTCGTAATCTAGATCGTCAGTGCTGCGGCGCTACGGTAAATGAGCAAACTTCGAAATGTCATTCACAGCTGGTTTGCAGGCTTCTTTGTTTACGATGGTTTCGCAATGATCGATGCTGCTGAGTGGTGAGGTTTTCCCGAAACTACCTTTCGATGCGCGCATGAGAGCGTCATTTCTTTATTTTCTTAAGCCGGTGTATTTCTCGGAAAGCTTTATTTCTCGTAAAGCTTTATTTCTCGTGCCATATCAAGAGAACTAACCTAAAGACGTGAAATTACCACGAGCCAAGGATTCTATTAATTGCTAGTATCCTTTTGCACTTTGTCTCGTGAAGTTGTGTGATTTTAGATCTATTAAATCATTGCATTAAGTGGCAATAATGTTCGCGAATCCACCATCAATGGGAATTCATTTCCATTGACTTGTGACGAGACGGCTCGGCTTAACCGACGCCGCTGACAAACTTATTTTATTTACTTATACAGGAGAAATAATGTCATGTATGCAAAAATAGATAGTAAATACCATTGTTTGTGGGGAGGTGCCAGGTAACATTGTCATCCAAGTAAACATTTGGTGGATGACGAGGTGATGACTTGGAACGCTTTTCGTAGTTTCTAAGGAAATCTTGTCAGTTTTCCTAAGACTTTAAGAAAAAATATTTTTTTAGCTCCTTTCGCGTGTTGAGAGATATTTTGATGCATTCAATATTTTGAGAAATCACCATTATGTTGTGATTGCTGTGACAATGTCCTTCAATTTCACTCCCTAGTTTTGTACTAAAAAAAATGTTTTTTTATCGATTTACTAATTCACTTTTTTGTCATCAATTCGCTTTCTGCATTTTGTTTTAAGACCAACTGAAAATATTCCAAAAAGGATAGGACTAAACATTTAAATGAATGGCGATGCATTTTGAGAACGAATCAACGTAGTACCTTACGTATTTCACATGATTCATTATAATTCCTACCACAGCTCTCGAAAATATTTTGGTTACTGCTGCACAGGTAAGAGCCGCGCCTTCATTAGCGGAGAGAAATGAAATCCGCCCCACTGAATTCTCTCTGTAGCTCTTGGTCGCTCTATTTCTCCCGCTGCTCCGCGGATTATTCCACCCACGCTCTGAATATGCTCTTTCATCGCACGGCAGTTGGGTTAGGGTCTATTGTACACATCGGGGGCCAGCGCCGGCCTAACCGGAGGCAATGGCGCGCGATGGCTCGTGGAGAGCAGGCGCACGCCCGCGCCTGGCCGTCCTTTCCTTTTCGGATTCCCGCCCTCACCCACCCACCCGCCCGCCCCGTACTGAGGAAAGTGCGGTCGGGCTACGCCATGTGACAGCGCTGCATCCGCCTCTCCGGCTTCCGAGCTGCCCGCAGACTCTGGCACTCCGCAAAGGAAAAGATGGGGTCATGTTTGAGGTAGTTTTGAAATGCCTCACGAGCTTCATAGAATTTAGACTTCTCGAAAGTGGCTGGGTTTCATGTTATGACAGATTTGTAAAAGAAAGTTCATTAAAAAAAATGTTTACGTTAGAACAAGGTGTGTTAAGCGACAAATGTTTTTTCAGAAAATTAATATTTTACTTTTAGAGAATGAATTTGAATGACTGGCTTGCTTGGTCATCGGATCCGAGATTCCAAATGTGATAAATTCGCTGGACTTTGTGCATCATTCTACTTTTGATTAGCTACTCCGCATTTTTTGCTGGCTTTAATAATGGAAACGTAAAAGCCAAAGGTTCCCTCGTTTCTAATAATTGTTACTCTCTCGCATACTACTTACGAAGAAAAGAGAAAGCTTTGTAATGCTGTGATAAAAAGCGGCAATTTTTGGACAGATAAACTCGTTTTGGGGGTCCCGATACCTAAAACGTGGATGATTCTTACTCTTATATGAATTCTATTACTTCTTTTAGCACGTTGCGTAGTTAAAACCAACGTTTTGTGTCTTTGACATCGAAAAATTTTTGGCAAACTATTTGCCCGACCCTTATTTTGATTTTTGAGGGTTCTTTGTGATGCCGCAAGGTCATTTACGAACTTTTCTCAAAAACGGCTCGAATTTTATTCTTTCATTTATTTCTCAGATAAAACGAAATACCTTTATACAAATATCTCAGGTCGATTTTCTGTGAAATTTAATTCTTAGAAATCTGCAGACGTTAAATTTGTTTTAGTTATCACCCCGAAAACTACAATACTGAAGAGGAGATTTGTTCTTAATGAAGTATATTCTTCAAAATCGAATCTTGAAATGAGGCTATGTACTTTTTTTCCCCTTCAAAATATGAGTAGTTCCGCCAAATATTGCATGAAATGCAGATTTTCTCCAAATGTTTTCAAGGATAGAGCGAGGTATGTTTACAAAAATGGCGTAAGCCCGATTTCGTTGATTTCTGAAGTTTCGAAAATAGCAAAAGTTATAAATTATGCGAAGAAGTATGTGCTATTCTTCCACAATATGTATGTAAACCACAATAGTTTGAAGTTAATTTGAAGTTGTGTAAGAATTATTGCTCACTAGAACGTATCCCATGAAATGTATTGCCATGAACATTTGTGTGTTCTTGCATATATTGAACATTTTGGAGGCATGTCAACCAAAGTTTGTTGTTCTGCGGGTTAATTGATAGAATAGAATGTTTTAGAAAATGTTTCATCAAAATCTGAGATATATTTCGTAGTTGACTAAAGTTAATTTAATCAATTATAGTTAAGTCATTTACTTTCTCGGCTTAGTCATAATTGCATTGCAAAGAGACAATATTGTAAAGATGTGTCTGAAATATGCGATTTTTCGACAGAAAAACTATAGTCGGAGTATGGTCATGGATAAATGTTGTTCCTAAATGCAGCAATTACTTCCTCTAAAATGTGAAGTGAGAATCCATTTTGTGGGTCCTTGATACCGAAAAATTGATTAACGGCAAATCGTGCCCCTCTGGTCAATGCTAGCGCCTAAACCGTTCTGTCGATTTTCTCGAAAATTGATATTCGCCTGTTGAGCTGAACGAACCCTTGGCTTTGCGAGTTTGAAGCGGATACTTTGGTAGGAGATACTTTTACATGAACCCTCAAAATTGAAGGTGTCAATAGTACAAGGCGCTATCCCACATTATTTTGTGAAATTGAGTTATTAGCATTATACAAGACTTCAAATATTATTCTTTTAGAGTAATATGTTATTTAAATCCAATACGGACTTAATGAAATAATATTGTGTTTAAAAGTTTAAAAATGTTGTTGTATGAGGAAAATGCAAGTAAACCCTTGGATATCTCAGAACTAGTATGTCTATTTGGGATAGCACTTGTTCTACTGAGCCCTTCAATGTTCTCAAACATGGCTCAATTTTTTTATATTAAACTCTGTTCTCGGGTGGCGTAGAAGTCGTTTAAAAATGACGCAGTTCTCATTTTCGATGTACTCTGTTCGAAAATTGGAAAAAAGTTGGTAATAATACTAGAAGGTATGTGCTGTTGTAGCTCACTAGTTTTCTTCTCTGGCCGTGACTGTAGGCACGTTCTCAACCCCAAGTAGTTGCCACGTGCATTCCTGTAAAGGTTTTCTTTTTGTTTCACTTCCGAGGCTCTGTGCACGTGCGATCCTTGCGCTCCACGATGCCGCTACGCGGGCCTCCCCAGAGGCAGCCATTCCCCTCCCCTCCCGCGTCGCTACACCCGCCACCCCGCTCCCGCCGTCCAGGCCCTGGTTCTTCGCCGCTCCCCCTCCGGTTTCCCCCGTCCCACTTTCTCTCTCCCCGCCGCAGCAGCGCGAGCGTCCGTCCGCAGCGATTGTCCTCCCACCGCCGCCGCCGCCGCCTCTCGTTTTCTCCCCGGCGCGCGGCGGTCACGTGGCGGTGGCTCTCCACAGTTTGCTTTAACAAAGCGGACGGATTCAGAGATACCACCACCGCCTTGCGTCTCACATGCGCTCGATTGCTTGAGCCCCGGATTACCTACCCCATTTCCTTTATTAATATAAGTTGAATTCAGAAGAAATGATTGCAATTAGCTTTGTTGACAAAATCGGATAACCAGAAATGTTCGCTCCGGTGTAATAGAATGTATTTTGCGGAGGAAAGAGAGCTACAGATTAGATATAATATTCCTGTCTACAAAGTAATCAAACTCCCTGCTCTCATCGCATCGAGCGAAGTGAGGGCTCAAGAAAACGTGCGCGGATCATTTTGTGGATAGGAGGAGGGTGTGAAATTGTAGGTTGGTGAGTATCGAAAAGATTGTCATTAAAAACTTAAAAGTAATATTGTTTGCAGTTCAATTTTAAGACTAATGTTTCTCTGTGAATTGTTGATATTGCCCTCTTGTTCTCATGAGCTTTCGGAAGGTTTTTTATATTGTATGGTTTTTAAAATTCTTGGGAGATACGTGTACCTTCTCTTCGTAAAGGAGTTAAATTATTTGGTATACGTACTGTTTTATAATTATGCGTATGTATATGTTTACTCACGTATACAGTCTCAGCACAGCATAGAAGATAGCATTTTTTTTGATATTTTTGGGGGGAAAGCATTTATGGTGACTGATACGTGTTTGGTCGTATCCAACACCAGGTTATTTTATACCTGTACTTGAACCGGTTTCCCCAGGTAGTCTTTGGCGATGCTGTTTGCATATATCACCTACGTCTAGATTTTCGGATATTCTCAAGATATAGGTATTACATGAACTCGCTTATGTGCGAGTCGGGTGGAATGTCTATAAAATGTCCATAGTATTTGAATGACTGGAAAGAAAGGCACATCCTTTTCACTCAGTCCGTGGAGAAAAACGCGCTCTCAACTTTTTTTGTGGTCTAGTCTGGGAATTCCTAAATCTTTCATCGTAATGTGCGTGTAAAACAAAGCCTTTGTAGTAAAAATTGCAGTACTTCCTTTCTTCTGCCGAAGAAAGTGCGCGTGTGCAGCGCTAAGTCGTGAATCCGTAATGGGAGCGCCGGTCAACTCTCACTTGATGCAAATGATTGATGCTCGTATATCGTATTGTTGTGAAACTTCTGGTCTCAGCGTCCTGCGGTCTGTCTAAAAAGAAGACCCCTAGAAGATGGCAGGTTCGATATCTGTGGAGTTCAGTGCTTTTATTTCGGGCAATACAAAGAAGAGTTATTAATGCAAGGCACTTAAAAGTTGTAGGTGCATCCCGTTGCTCAAGCAAGTAGATACGAAACAACGTGAACGATGTACTGGATTTTCTGAGCACTAAACTTTAATTTGGGGATACCTAATTTCCAATTAAGGGCGCTGGTCCGAGGCAGGTTTAAATAAGGGTTTCTCATTTTACGCACCTCTCAAATAACAATTGATCTATCATTATCAATGTTGGTGTCCTTTACACGTTTCAAATCATTCCCAATCATCATCATCACACATTATTACACATTATTGTTGTGTTTCGTTTTCGGCATTACGGGCTGAAAACGGGATAGAAATGTGTAGTGGCTCTTAGCCAAGAATTGATGGTACATTGTAGTTCTTTTATCGGTTTAACTCATTATGAGTTGGGCACTATAGATCTGGCATTAGTTGCTTTGTAGCTAAGATTCTTTCGAAAAATGATTTGATGTAAGAGCTTCCAGGTCAAGCAGCTTGACCCGAAGGTACAGTCTAATCCGTCATCACCGTAAAACCCGCTTCTGTCACGCGGAATGTTACTCCACCTCACAGGAATATGATTTTCTTAGAATCCACGCCTTCCCCAGAACTCGTGTGCCTTCATTTCGCTTTGACTTGGACCGGACTGAGAACGCGAAAACGCACTCGGAATCGCATTTTCGCAATCGATCTCTCGCGCTTTTTTCCATCTCGCTGCGATTGGCCTCGCTAGAATTTCTGGAAAATGCTGTTGCTATTGCTGCTGCTTCTACCGCTACCGCCACAAATACCATCGCCGCCGCCACCACCATCGCCGCCAGCACCACCACCATCATCGCCGCCGCCGCCGCCACCGCCACCACCACCACCACCACCACCACCACCACCACCACCACCACCACTACCTTCGCCACGCGGTTCACCACGCTTCGAAAACCAAGTGGTGATGCGGCGTGCCGCTTGCGTCATGCCCCGCCTGGGTTGCATGCACGCGCCGTCGCCTATCACGCCGTTTTATCGTCTGCGAAAAGGAACTTATCAGTTTTGCTTTTTTATCGACGCCGCGGAAAAGCCGCAGCCCATGGTAATTTTCCCGCAGCCTTTCTCCGCCCACTGCCTCTTCGAGCACTGACTTCGTAGTGGTCTCACAAGAGCCGCGTCGTTGGATTCTGGAGTGTTAACCTGTGGTTCTGTGGTCTTCTAGATTTGTTAATACAAAGGGAAACTGTCTCTGCGAATAATTTTTTCCCCCGATTTATCCAAAAGTTTAGTCTCCCTCAGGTTTTATTTGATACTGATCTGCAATTTTCCAATGTTTCTTTCCTCGAGGTTTGCATTTTAATGTAATTGCCTTCATTCGCCGAATCCATGGAGTGTAACTGTGTGAGTTCGGATTTCCTTACGTACTTACTTTCCCTCTTCAGTTTTCCTGGAGGACGGAGGTTTATTTATTAAAATGGACGTATTTGAATTAGAAGAAATCTTGTATAATTTGAAGGAGCTTCGTTTGTTGCAGCTTGGGATATTTTTTATCAATTGCAGTTTACCGAAAGCGAAAATGCTGAGAATTTTCCGTCCTGATTGTATTGAGAACGAGCCTAGGAAAATCGGAATCATGTGCTTAGCCATTGATATCTCTATAAATATTACTTTTACGAATTCATTTGTTTTGAATAGTCGTTTTCCTTGCATTTCGATTTCTGTTGAATGTTCCTTGCTAGGTTATCGATCCTCCGCCGCAAATTGCCCGCTCCCTGGAAAGGCATATTTGCCTTGCGTGCGGGAATCCTGCTGTGAAATTGCGAAGTCGGAAGGGCCAGCTCGGGGTAGATTTATTCTAAGGAAATTCGTTGCCCAAAGAAATTATTTGAAGAAGTTGAAACGGTAGAATTTATCATTCGTAATTGTCTAAATATATTATTTAATTTTTGTACCCTGGCATCACGTGTCTCCCCGAGAGAAGACTAAGGTCAACGTTTAAATTTTGATTTTATTGATGTTTTTGACGATTTTGCTAAATTAATTAATTGACTTAACTAATAATACTCACGTGCATTAATTTTGAGAAAATATTATTCAATTGTGTGCTCAGCAAATAAAACTAGTGGTGCTACAGCATCGCATACTACCTCGTTATTTCTAACTTACGCAATTTTCGAAAATGAGACTTGCACCATTTTTATAAGCTTGTTTTGTTTTATCAAAGAAAAAAATGTAAAAAATAGGTACATTTTCTAGCACATTTTGAAAATGTTGAGTCTTCCTACCTTCAGAAATAAAAAAAAAAATCAATTTCAAATGGCCACGACGTCAGTCATCCATCGGGGAATATATATTTTGGTGAAAATACTACTCACGGTGTATTCGCTAGCAGTTTTAACGAACGGTCTGACAGACGTGTCTCGGTAAACTAATTTTTTGGCATCAAGAACCCACAAACATGATTCTAACTTTCCGCGTGTTAGGTAAAGTAATTTATTACTTTTTAAACAAGATTTATCTCATTTTTCGCTGTCGTTCCCAGATTTTTTGGAGTTTTCCCAGCAAAACTTGCGGTTTTTGCCGCAGCATTACAATACTTTCTCTAGACTACATAAGTAGTATGCGAGAAAGTAAAAAAAATACTTTTGGCGTCAATATTTGTATTTAATGAGAAATCCTATCACATTTTCGACCAATTAAAAGTTAATATCGCTAATAGTCAATACCGCTTTAATCCGTAGTTTAAATTATTATTTACAAGTAAACGTCGGTACATCACTCTTGAGGCTGACTGAGCGATGTGATCATCCGCCATTCTCATAAGTCACATCACCCATGGATCTAGGAATGGGTATTCTCATCGGAGATCCGGAGACGCAGTTACGAGGCGCTGTGGCATGGTGTACCATGGACAATTAATTAAACCGTACAATGCACCATGGTGGATGTGTCTCGCGCGTACGCCGCTTCCCCACCTCGGAAGACAATTCGTACCAGATACGTTGAGCCCGAGATCGCTGGAGCATTGCAGGGGCGTTGCATCAGCGCGTGCTCGTCGCCGCGTACCGAGAAGCGCTGACGCGCAGTTCGCTCCTGGCGCGCAAAGGCCGCCGCCGTCGTCTTCGTCGTCGTCGTCGCCGCGCCGGTGGCGACGTGCGGATTAACCGGGATCGTTGTCCTGTTTTTACACTTCCCGGAACGTCGTACGTGTTTATCGCGTTCGCCAGAAAGAGGATGCGATGCGATGCTGCCCGGGAGAAAAGATAGGTCGCGCATAGCTCTTTTAACGGCGTTCGCCGTATATTTGGCTTCGTCGGTGAATCAGAGGCGAAGTGACGTTGAGAAGGAAGAGCGGATAGGGTGGGGGTGGAGGGTTCTTTGCGAGCGCATGCAAGACTTTGGGTGGTGTGTATTTTTTTCCGCTCATTTTCGTCGCTGTTTAAAATTTTGCGCAGCGTCATTCAGGGAAGCGGGGCGCGTGGGCGTGGGCTGGTAATTGGCTGCTGGGCTTCGCGCCTGCCGCACGGCGAATTGTAGATTCCGGGAAATCCTGGTTGCGATGAATTTAAATGAACGGGATTTTCACGGTATCATGCGTATTTAGGAAATATGTGAGAAAAATGAGACATGTCGCAGGATATAAAAGGAAAGAGACCGAAAAAAAAGCATTACCGCGATTTTTTTGAAGCCATGTGTTCATGCCGGTTTTCAGCTTCTGCAGTTCAAAATATTGCAAGCCAAGCCGAACTGTCACAGACTGTCCTAGCTATTTTTAAGAGTCGTTGGCTCTCCTAAGACTCAAGTCTTTGTTCTCTCTTTGTGCCTGTGAATATCCTGGGCTTTCCTGTGGCGTCTAATTGTCACCCGCACTGATGACCACTGCCAGCATTCCTCGAAGTCCGCAAGGAACTAGGACTTACTCCGGCGCATACAAGTGTACTAAACGTTTTTGGTGATAAAAATATTTATCACTTCATTTGGCGAGATGCCTTATTTTCATGTCCATTCCAGCTTTTATGTTCAATTATCTACTATTCTCTTTACTTTTTATTATTATGAAACACAAAAATTTGGTTGTTATGAAGTGTTTCGACTGTCGCCTTTAAGAACATTGACGATTTAATTTACATTGTGCTATACACATACGTAGTTACGAACCCACCTATGTAATCATATCAGATGAGATATGAGCCCGCTAGTCAAATTGAACGCGAATCGTTCGAACAATGAGTTTAGACACTCCCAATAGAGTAAGCGCAATCACCAAACAACTGGTGAAAATTATGGTTTGTTGCCAATCACCCAAGAAAATGTTGCCAATCACCCAAGAAAAGTTGCCAATGTAAACACTGCGGCAATAAATATTTCAGACGTTGGCAACGTTTCTTGCTAGATATTCCGGGCGTAATGTAAACTCGTGTGTTTCCGTCATCGGAAAGATATTGCGAAAATATTGCGATAATCAGAGGCTAATTATTTTAAAACCTTTTTATCGAATTAGTTACTTTACACGTAATAGGAACTTAACATAGACGTGCACAAACTTGGTGATTGTTAGTGAAGTCCACGAAAAAGTTTAGATTTAAAAAAATTGGAACTCGTGGAAAATAATTTGAAACATTTGTATACAAAATATTAAATAAAAATTTATGCAGCAATTATTTTATTAAGGAAACTGAATTCACTTTATCACAGCTTGTTTATAAAATATACAATATGTGATGATACGGTAGCTTTTATGGTAATAATTAGGCTATAAATAGAATATTTACATAATTCAAGCACTTGTGCTTAAAACTGAATTGACGTAGTAAATTTTTCTGTGTTATGCTATTTAAAGCTTCTAAATGAAACTTTTTATATTACGGTTAATAATCCTCTTGTTTTCAATGATTAGTATGTAGTCCACATCAATCATCGGCACCTGTTCCTCTCATTATTTGGCACAAGAAGTACGGCCACGACTCGCATCTTCTGCTTCTGCTTACTATGGCGAAATACTACTACTACGCGAATTAACCTATAAAGTGGCAAAAGAACTCCCTCCATTTCCCTCGTTCGTGATGTCACCGAACACGGCTACTAAAACCCCTAATGTAAAACCGCTGGCAATATCTTTTCGGCAAAATCTTTCCGGCAGCATATCGCTCCGTCTTGCAAAACATTAACACGTGTGCCAGAAGCAAAAACAAATTGTCGGAGATCTTGCGGAAACTTTTAGCTAGTGTAAATCCAGCTTAAGCGGTTAGCAGGAACGCGTATGAAATACGGACCTCTGTACGCGGCCACTTGATTTAGGCAATCCGTTGCTTAAGCGTTGCCTTCTTCGTCAAGCGCCCACCGCGAGTTCGGCCCTAGAGGCCGGAGGAGGAAATGGGCGCCGTACGGAGAAGCGGCGAACAATGGCCGCGCGCGGAGCGGAAGAGGCCTCCTCGGAGGGAGGGGGCGTTCCGCGCTGGCCGCTTCCCGCCGCCCCGGCTGGTTTGGCCGAGCCGCCTCGGCGGAGGGCGGGCTGCTTGCGGCTGGATGCCAGGGGCGGAGACCGACTGCGTCCCGCGGCGTACCCCGGGCTGCCGCCTGTTCCGTTTTCCTCCGTCATGAGAGGACCCATGTCTGCTTAGTATTACATTGAAGGATTATAATTGATCCACTTCTGCTTTGAAGAAACATTCGCACGTTCTTTTAGACCACTACCAACGTGGAAAACCACACTTACAAGTTTGTGGAAAGAAAACTTGAAACCTATCATGAGCATCTTCTTACCCCGCAGTCTTAACACACACAATTCCGGAGATTCTGCCATTTTGCCTGAGATCGAAGTTTCTCTGGTGAAAGAACATCGATTTGTGCATCTTACCTGAAAAATGATTGCCACTTAAAAAATCTTACTCTTTCCGAAACATTGGACGAACGAAACAGGATGCAGTCGGGTTGTGCCTTCTCGGGTAACGAAAAGTGAAAGAGGATTAGCTGAAAAGAGGGGGCAAGGGGAAACTGTCCACGGGATGCAGTCGGGCGATCCCCCACGTCAGAGAAAAGAAGAGAAATCGTAGCCTGCTCATTGAACAGATCTATTCGTGTGAAGGTGAAACGGAGACGACG